CAAAGCTATGTAAGACATCAGCCTTGTGATAAGAATTTGAATCTTTAGTTTTAATCCACAAACAAACCCTGGTTCCCTATCTGTCCCAATAATACCTTTTTTTTCATTCTTCTCAGTGTCACAGGTCTAAGAGAAAGCCTAAAATTCCTTCCACTGCCCATATCAATGAATGTGAGATCTAGCTTGGAATTCCTACAGAAGACCTTCCCAGGTATGCATTGAAAAGACTTTGCTGACATCTTTCTTTAGAAAAGCCTAGTACCACTAATGGCTTAAAATGCACATTGATACTATATCTGAATTCAATTGTCTTTTCAACAGTCTGTGCAAAACGTGATTCCTTGACGGTAAGCCCAAGTTCAAAGCTGTATTTAACAGAATACACACCATACATCAGTTTCATTTAACAGACTAGATGGTGGCACATTACTTTTATAAGACAAGTGATGGCCAGATTGAAATATTTTGAGTGGTATTTGACACTAATCTCACGATTGTTGTTTGTTTGTCCACAGTGCAAAGAGACACATGTTGATGGTAAGTCTGCTGAATATCACTGGTTTAAAAATTGAGAAGAAAAAAAAATTTTTTTGTCAAAAACCCTTATCTGATTCACAAATTTTACTGTTTTTCATAGAAATGCTCATCTGCTCTGGAGTGAACAGGTGAGAGGCTGACTGTGTTATCTGATACAAATATATCAAGTAAGTTTGCAAAATGTAACCAAGGCTGAAATGCTTTATCACTATTTTGCACAGCACTCAACTCCAGAAAACACTGCAAGATGACAATTCCACTTCAGGTGTATGCAATTTCACCATCATTGAACATGCCTGTACCACGGTAAGATGTTCATGTGCTAGCAAGTAATCCAAGGCAACATTTTGCCCTGGCTGTACTATATATTGGTAAAACCTCAGAAACTCAAAGCTTGCTTCATTTCTTCTTTAGCCAACACAACTCACAGCAGCCAACTTGGCCAGTCTCCTGAAATGCTCTGTAGAGAGCAACATGCCAGATAAGGTGGAAGTATGGCAGCTTCTTTTCCAAAAAACTTCTCCCGTGCTCCGCCAGGCTCTGGGCATGTTCGCCACCATGGTATATCCAGTGGGATCATTTCAGAATACTATTGCCTTTTTAGTGTCATCTCTACATCCAACCAATTTTTGCTCAATTTTTAGGCCCCCAACACCATGAACTCTGCCTATTCCAATTCTCTTGATGCTCTGGG